TCTAAATATCTAGGCAGGGCATTGTCTATCTTCTGCTTAAAGATCACAAAAGACATAGATCCTCTTTGGCGTTCATTACAGACACCCCCTCTTTTTAATTTGTCTTCCCAGCCCCAAAATCAAACAGAGCAACAAAAGGCAGCCCCTCCTTCTCATTTACATGCCAGGCCTACTTGAAGGTGTCACTTCCTTCCAACCACCTAAGCCAGGAAACCTTGAATTTACCCTCAATTCCGCCTGCTCCTCTCCTGTCATCTGGTCAACCCATCCTTTCCGACCCCTCCTCCTCTGGGCCTGTTCCCACTGCTACAGCCTAAGGCACCCCACCTGCCCGCCAGGGGGGCGCTGTCCTGAAGCCCAGCTCTGACAGGTCTCTGCCACTCCCAGACCAGCAAAACAGAGACCCAAACCCTTCCCCTACGCCAGTCCCCAATCACGCCAGTCCCCAATCACGCGTCCGGCCTGGCCTGAGACCCCGCCGCACGCAGATTCTGCCTCCCGAACAGACTCCTGCTGTTCCAAACGCTGAGATCTCTCTCCTTCCCTCTTCACTCACGCACTCACTCGACTAACGTTTCCCGAGCACCCTCTGTGCCCAGGCACTGTGCCAGGTGTAGGGACACGGTCGTAAGCAAGTCGGGCAGCACTTGTCCGCACGTAGATCATAAAGCAGACTCTCGGCTCCTCCACGCGCTTGCAAAGCTCGTCCGCCGTCGCTGCGCCGTCTCCGCCGGCCCCGCAGTAACAACCTCGTCTTCCTTTCTCGGCCCCTAAACGTACGTTGGCAGCTTCTGTCACTTATTGCTCTGTGCTTGTGTTCCTTCCTTCTTGATGTCTTCGTGTGTCCCCAAAGCGCTGGCACAGTGCTCTGCACCCAAATCTGTCCCATCCTGATGTCAGTGCCTCCTACAGCGGTGGGCAGCCACTTACAGGCCTTAAGTGGCGCTTTTTCATGTCCTGTAAAAATGCGCCACGGTGTTTTTTCTGTTTTGGTTTGGTTCTTTCTTTTTTAATCACAAAGGTGTATGAACCTGTGGTTAAAAGACATTGACTTTTGGCTCTGGGATGTGTTTATGAACTTACGAATGAGAATATCTCATGTCTTAGGAAACTACTTCAAACAAAATGAGCCGCCAGGTGGTGGCTGGGCCCTGTGGTGACTTGGCAAGGGGGGGGGGTCAGCTCCCCGCTGGGCGCGCCTGCAGCCTATTTGAGCCTCTGTCAGGGTTCCAGATTAAGACTTGCCCTCTTAACGGAGTCCTTAGCGCCTCTGTTAAAATTTGCATTTTCACCCGGTTTATCTCAAGTAAACTGAAAGAACTGATAACGATTTGTCCTTATGAAGATTCCACTGTGAATGCCAAAGAGGCCAGAGCAGCAAGTGCTTAAATAAATCAGGATCCAGGTAGTCACACTTGACTCCAGCGGGTCACAGAATTAAGCGCCGACTGGTGGGTGGGCACAGATAGGCCCACTCCACTCCCTCATCCCCTAGACCAGCGGGCAGTACTGCCAGTCACACATGCAGGTACACGTGCACAGGCGCACGCCGAAACTCAGGTGGGTGACACAGAGCGTGGGCAAAAGTGGCCCTGAACGGTACTGGGTTTTCTTGCAAACTTAGGATGGAAGGAAGGAGAAAGGGGGAAGCAAGTCTAAACCTACCATCTTTCAAATCTAAAGAATTGTCTGAGTTTTTTTTAGGAGAATTCTATGCAGAAACTATTCCATCTTAAGTTATAACAGTGAAACAGCAAGAAAATTTCACCGGACAGCCTGCCGAGCAGCTTTCATGGACTTATAAAAACTGGCTTCTTTCGTCTTCATCTGTCCTAGTAATATATAATGATCACTAACTCAACATATTTTCTCTCTTTAATTTTTTTTTTGGCAGTCCACTGCCAGAATAAAAAGTAAAATTACACCACAAAAATTGGAATTGTGAAAAAAAACATGTGAATTACCTCCATGCGTTCCCAGATTCGGCCTGGACATAACGTCTGTGCGCACAGTCAGTGCCTCCATTCAAACCAAAGCCATCGCCGCCCCCGTTGGAAGGGCCAGGAACACAGGGAGGGGCAGCGTCTGTCTGCACCCACCCCACCCGCCACCTCTGCTCAGGACAACTGGGAACTTGCTGGGAGCCTGAGAGCAGGGACTCCAGGGCCCACTGCCTGTGGCTCGAGTCCCAGCTCAGCCACTCACCAGCTCAATGACCTTGGGCTCTGCTTAGCCTCAGTCTCCTCATCTGTAAAGTGGTGGCAGTAACAGCACCTAACTCCGAGGGCTGTTCTGAAGACTGACCAAGTTCATGTGTGTAAGACACAGACAACACCGCCTGGCACGAGGCTTTGCGCGTTAGCTGTCCTTAGGATTTTTATTTTTAGCACCACGGTGAAATTTGTCTCCGAATTCAACTGAATCTCTTCTTCTGTTTTTATCACAGCAATCTGCAAGTGGTGAGCTCATGAACAGGTGTATGTGGACACATGCTTAGATAGCATTCACCAAATGGCCACATGGTCCATTTGAAATAAAAATTAACAAGCAGAAAGGTTTCTTCTCACCTTTCCTAACCTAGCCACTCCATCCCAGCGCCTCGTGGGGATGAAGTGGTTAGGTTAGGAAAGGATTTGTGGAGTTCTTCTGTATTTCCAAGATGTCCTGCGTTCACATTTAGACTCACACCCATGCTCCCAACTTCGTAAAAAAAAATCATTCCTCTATGAATTATTCATCCAAAAGTTCCTGGCGGCATCATATCAGGCTGCTTTAATAAAGAGTAAATGAAAATTGAAAATCTTCAATTATTTAAGTCTGCAGGTTAGCTAACGAGTCCTCAGGAGAGGCGGCTCATCCGACAACATTTGGGGAAATTCTTCGAACCACTTCACAACCTGCTTCATACTCGGTCCCCAGAGTGTGTCCGCCAAGAGCTCCCTCCCACCTCGTCAGTCCTTTCCTTGCCAACACAAAAATCACACCAAAAATGGTCCTCATCTATCAACACTAGAATCAGAGCACCATCGAGCACCATGTTCAGTTGGCTAAATGGAACTTCCTGCTGGATCTAGCGATCCCAAAAGAAGCGACGCAGACCTCAATGACTGGAGCTCGTTCATCTAACCACCTCTGGCTCGTTAGTCACTGCAGAATCAAACATAATGGCACACGCACAGTCCCTACCCTCAGGCTCCCAGAGGTCCCCAAACCCTGAACTCACCAAAAGACAGACACAACAAAGGTTCAAGCTATGATCACAGTCCCAACAACAGAGTGGCACTCCATCAGCACTGCAGGCAGTGACATCATCCAGGTACAGCGGGTCAGGGAACAGGCCACCTCTCACTGGTTCCGTCCAGGAGCAGAGCTGTAATCTGACACTGGGGACTCAGGCTGCAGCGACTCTGAGCCTCAGGAGCAGCAGCAAAAGCTCTTTCATTCCCACTCTGACTCCAGCCACTCAAGAAGCACCCTGCTCTCTGCACCTCTAAGAGACACGTCCCAAAGGCATAGTGTCAAGAATCCCTACGATGTGAAGTGACAATGAAAGTGTGTTTTCCCTCAAATAAAAGATATGCTCCTGAAGGTCAAGGATACTCACTCTTGGGATGCCTGGTGGTACCCACATATCCTTAGGCAGAGCTGCCAAAATCCCGTTTAGTCCTAGGAAGCTAACTAGAGTGACTACGGTTCATTTAATGATGATCGTCTAATTGCACGTTTAGATAAGACAACAAGAAAGTAAAAATAAATGTTTAAGTTGGAATATACTAGACGACTCTAAAACAGCAGCCCTTTCTCTTTTTACTTTTTAAATTTATTTTAGAGAGAGAGGAAGGGGGAGAGAGAGAGACATGGGTTTGTTGTTCCACTTATCCACGCATTCATTGGTTAATTCTTGCATGTGCCCTGACCGGGGATCAAACCCGCAATCTTGGCATATCGGGGTGATGCTCTAACCAACTGAGCTACCCGGCCGGGGCTCAACCAGTTCTTTCAATAAAAGAACATGATCAGTCAATTCAGCCTTATTATCTGTTGCTTTTATTAAGTAGAGATTTATCTCTAATTCAGTTTTTACTCCACTTATTATTGAGGATTAAGATATCTCTTTCCTGCAGACTTATGGTCCTTTGCAGAAAACAGGTCCACACTCTTTACCTTACACTCTCAAGTCCAAATTCCAGAGAAGCAAAGTAACCAAAGACAGTAAACCACACTCCTGTACCACTCCTCAGAGGCAAGGAAAAGAATACTGGGAGGCTTGGAGCACCCAAGGAAAATAACTCCCTAACTTGTCATACAGGTAAAATCTTCTTACTCTCAGAAAAAAAAAAAAAGTGAATCCAGCTCAACGCGTCCCCTTCCCAGACAGCAAGCTGCACAAACAGAAACATCCTGAGAGCCGACAGCGGCCTTGCGACCTGGGCGGCTGGAGCACCTGGGACACGCACACTGCCCTGGACTCTGGCCGATCCGCGAACACCAGGGACAGACTCACAAGCCGTTACAGAGTCCAGCGAGGACAAGGACAGGCCGCCTGTCTCCTCGGTCCTGCTCCGCGAGTGTTAGCAATCCGCAACTGCAGTCTGCCGTGGTGGTAAGAAGAACTCATGTGGATAGAGAGAGGGCCAAAGGACCCCGGTGTTGACAGGTTCAAGCTACGTTCACTTTCAGCCCTGGCCGGGTAGCTCGGCTGGTTAGAGCATCCTCCCGATATGTCAAGGTTGAAGGTTCGAAACCCAGTCAGGACCCACTGCTTAAAAAAGTGGAACAACAAATCCAAGTTTCTCTCCCTCTCCCTCTCTAAAATCAATCAATCAATCAATCAATAAGTTAGGATCGCTCTCCCCAAGCAACCCGAGCCTTAAAAAACTGGTACCGTTACTTGCACCACTGGGGAAAAGTGAGTAAAACTGCCCTAAAGGTAGGCAGCGCTTCTTCATCAAAGAGCCAAGCAGGCTAAATAGTTGGAAAAAAACAAAACAGAAACTTACTTTTCATAGACCAGCTCCTCGTCGATGGAGAAATAGTGGATATGAACTGTGCTTTTTGGTCTGTTCCTTAAAGTAGCAAAATATAACCGATCTGAAAGACAAGTCCAAAGGATGGGAGAAAACGTGTGAGAAGCGGGGAAGCGGAGGTGGAGGGGGTGACCACACTCGGAAGATCAAAATAACAAGCGCTACCCATTATTTAAAGACCTTCAGCACGTGGGGTTCTGGCGGAAACCTGATCCCGCCCAGAAAGCGACAGGGACCCAGGGGCACAGCGGTCCCCGAGCACCAGGCGGACCTGGGCGAGGG